AGAGAGAGAGAGAGAGAGAGAGAGAGAGAGAGAGAGAGAGAGAGAGAGGAATTGAGAACTATTTCGGACTGTCGCGACGTTGACAGACAGACGTCTTTTGAAATCCGTATCGACATTCGGCTTGTTGTACGTCTATTGGCGGGAGGACTTCCATTAACGCCACAGCCGAGGAATCAATATTAATACGGACCACATTACAAACAGGGTGTCCCGAATATGTGCGAGCCATATTTATTTTATCCACTCTCTAAATTCCTTCGAGCGAAATTTCGTGCAAAACGAGTGACAGTATTTTCACTGAAATCAATAGTGAAAATATTGTGCTCAGAGGAAAAACATCGTATTGACAGAAAATACATTAATAGAAAACATATTTAAAAAAATAAAATAAATTTATATTCGCGCAATAGATACTATAATAAAATTTACTTTTATCAATATAAAATATTTTTCAAATATTTTTTCAAATAAAAAAATATACACTTTCTTAAAAACTTAAGAAAACCTTCTTTTTTCATGAAAGCATTTACTTATTTTAAAAAGATTTAGAATTAAGTACATTATATTAAAATATATATACTAAATAAATATTTACTATTTTTGAGGTATTTTTTTCTCTCAGTGACAACATTGCAAGAGTTGTTCAACTAATGTTTAATGTAAATTCTGATTCCATATAAGCGAACATTTTAATCGATTCCCAATTTAAACATGACTTAATAGCAATATTATATAGATGTTATAATTTTTTACTCAATAATATAACTGTTGCAGTATTATGCATAACATGTATTATATTACATGTACGTTGTGGAGTGGGAAATTATAATATTGATATAATGTTATTGTTGGTGTTTACTGGGTTAAAGTGAATATGTTTCTGCGACAATGGAATAATCGGATGCAAATCGGTTATAAATATGTAAAAAGTATTTCTCAAAATAATGAATTTTAACAATTTCATTCGATGAAAAATATATAAATTGATTTGTAAGCGACTATACATCAAATTTATTCTTCAATTTCGAGTGAAAATATTCATTCCACAATTCAGAGTAGGGAATTTACGCTATATTCGAGTGACTCGATGATCACTCTACTTTTTGAGTGAAATTTCATTTCGAGAACTTTAGAGAGCATATAAACTATTTTTAAATAAAAATACCCTAATAATATACAATCAAGAGAAGATTTAAGGGCCAACAAGGGCCTATATAATATCAAGTAAAAAAAACTTGAAATTTTGACTTTAATTTTATTAGTCAATTGAATAATAAATCAGTCTTCAAATTTATTAACAAGTTGACTAATAAATTTTTATACTTTCTGACTATGGAAATTACAGTTTCAAGTTTTTTTCTGTATCAGTGTATAGGCTTTTATATTCTTAAATTTTCTCTTCATTTCGTAAATCATTTTATATCAAAGATCCTTTAGAATCGATTTTTCGTGAATAGAAATGTTAAGGAAACGATCATTCAAGCTTAAACGGTTGAGAACAGAAGACAGTCGTTGCGAAAATCGAAATCCGTTCAAAGGGTCCATATGGATTATAGATAAAAGGCCCTTAGGACACCCTGTATGTAGGGGACACGCGGTAGCTGCCAGTACACGTCGCTCTGATATCGAATTCAGTAGTAATGCTCCGACAATACAATACCCTTCCGCCCGTGCCGTATTATGTGTATTGTATATTTGCCTAGATAATGAGACGTCACGGCCAGCTCAGCGCGACGTTATTTATAATCCACAATTGATCCCGCTCTCCTTTTCCATTCAAGCCGATATATACAGTGCGCGTACAACAGTCCGCGCGCGCGGATGCACGTTCGCACGCACGTTAAGCCACGTGCGCATCGGAAAACGATGAGTGATAAGCGATGACTTTCGCGAACGGTGCGCAAGATAATAAGCCCGTGCATTAAACACAACTCAGGCGTGTGTAATTTTAACGAGTTTAGGACCAATATCATCCAGATTGTTCCACTTCTGCCGGATCAATAGTCCGATATTGAAGCCAAATTTAGCGTTGCATTTGGGCTTAACATTGGGAGGAATTTAATTATGCACGTGACATTTCGTTAACCTCCAATTTCGCGACCAAGTTCTCTTTCTCTATCTGTAATTAGGTCTCAGTGGTCCCACTAAATCCGCTTTGTATTAGGCGAACGTTTATTATTCAGAACGAGATTATCGGACGGAAGGGCGGAAAGACCTATCGCCTCGGCCCGTAAAGCCGCTTGGGACCCCTCCTGCGCCGGAAAGTAGCTCCGAGATACATCAAGGATTTCGTCTTGAATTTTGCACGCGCTCGGGGCACGCGGCTCCCCGACTCGGTAATATAAACAGCATCCGCTTTCAGCGAGAATACGCCACCGGGCGCAGCCCGGGCGACGCCCGCGTCGTGGAAGCACGAGTGAAATACTTGGATCGCTCGCTGGCGACCGAGTTTTACAATCGCCACGGACAATAAACACGCTGATGGTCCGGCCAGACTCGATTTTTTCGAAATCCAGCGGGAAAATAACCAAGCGCGCACGCGAAAGACAGAGTTTTATCAACGCTGTGAGGCAGAGATTGACCCTATAGAGTTTTTAGTGTGTAAAAGACAGAAATAATTGTCGTTTGAGTCAGAACAAGCAGAGAGAAAAGAAAAAAAATAATAACTATTGATATCTGAGTGATATCAATTAATCTCTCCCTCTCTCTCTCTCTCTCTCGAAGCGAGAGAGAGAGAGAGTGTGAGAGAAGGGAAGATGAGAGAGGGAGGAGCATAACGTTCTATTCGCGCGCGCGGTGCGAACTTACGATTCGCCGATTCGTCGTTTAGCTCCCGCCGCTTTTTTCGCGTCGGTGAGAAGTACGTAAATAAAATGACTGCCGCGCCGCGACTCCGGCCAACGTATTGTGGAAAAATTCGTGAAAAAAGACGAGAAAAAGAGAGAAAAAAAAAATCGCGCGCGATATTACGGCGTGCCCGCCGAGGCGGACGTATAATTTCCGGCCCGACGTTGAATCCTCGTCAACGTTTCATACACGTCCATTCTCCGTTGTCGCGGAGCGCGGTCGCGTGTCCCCGCCGCCTCGTCCGCGGGGCAGTTTGTTTGCGTTAACGCACCGTGTGTGCAACTAACGAACGTACGAACGGACGCACGCATACACACCGGGGAGAGATCGAATCGCGCGAACGGAAAAGAATGGGGTAGATTATACTCAGTTTTTTTTAGTATACACCATTAGCTGAAGCCTAAAAAAAAACTGCTATTTTGGTTAAATTGTAACTTATAACCAGTGTTTTTGCTGCTATCTAAATGAAATCATCTAGATGGTTATTTGGATGGAAATATCGGAATATCTGTATCTAAATGAGACATAGCATCTTTATCTTGGGTAAAAAAATGTGCCATCCTAACTGGGAAAAAAATTTAAGATACGACATTCAACAGAAAAATTTGTTAGAGTTTTTAGTTAGTGACATTTCATGTAAAGATCTCATTTAAAAATAAAAATAATTCATACATCCAAAATATGAATGCGTTTGAAAACAAGTATATTTCTAGTAGTAGCGCAGATGAAAATTTTTCTCACGATATCATGAAAAAAAGTGATGTTAGTACACAGCTAATTATCAGTAGTAATATCGAGGTAACTTCCTATTTAGAGGAAGAGGAGTTGCATTCCTCTAACAAATTTCTAACGTGAAACAAACTTTTCTTTCAAGTATAATGCATCGCTGCTTTTATCGGCACGAGTAGTGTCTTTTCAATACAGGACAACAAATATATGTACACCGTAGAAACTGTTTATTAGACGATATTTTTTGTTTTTAAAAAATAATAACTTATAAACAAAAACATGGGGTGTAGTTCCGAAAAGTATTCACCCCTGATTTTTTTGAAACTCAGTATTCTTACGTATTTTGACGCGCTGATTACGAATATCATAGTGAAAATTGGCGATCACTTGATTTTCATGGTAAAAACCATGAAAAACCTATAAAAATTATAGTTTTTGACGTTTATCTCAGTAAATAAGAAAAATCATGATAAATGTTTTAGACAAAAGCTTTAGATCTTACAGAGATAAACATTTTAGGTTCTATATATTTTCATCGTACGAACAATAGTTTTCGAGGAAATGGAGTATAAAGACAGTAACAGCGTTAACATCTATCGTCGTTGCAGTTAAAAAGTGTTTAACTTTTTTTCTTAATAACTTATTAATAAATAATGACCGACAGCTAATGTAACGGTAGGTAAGGTTAGATTAGTTGTTAGGGGGGGGAGGGGGACGCAGCCTCCCGCTAGTCGTTCGATATTTTTCCCGTGTTGCAAAAATGTTAAAAATATTCTTAAAAAAAGTTGTTAGAGTTCCTTCATAACTGTAAGTCCTCTTTCCTTTATTTCTTTTCGTCACGATTCGGGGGAAATATACTGTCTACGTGGCGAAATAACCCACAGAAGGGATTCGCAGAAATCGAGTATAAAGACCGTAACAACGCTGTTACGGTCTTTATACTTGATTTCCTCAAGAACTATCATTCGTACGATGAAAATGGATCTAAAATATTTATCTCAGTGAGATCTAAAACTTTTGTTTAAAATATTTATCATGATTTTTCGTATTTACTAAAATAAACGTAAAAAACTATAATTTTTATGGGTTTTTCATGATTTTTATCATGAAAATCAAGTAGTCGCCAATTTTCACTATGATATTCGTAATCAGCACGTCAATATACGTACGAATACTGAGTTAAAAAAAAATCAGGGGTGAGTACTTTTCGGAACTTTATCCAATCTACAAAAAGTCTAAATGAATCCCACTACCATCTCATCTTTCATTTGAATGCTTTGAGGCGAAATAATCTCTATCTCATCTAAGATAAAACTTACGGATTTTTCCATTTCATTTCCATCTGGATGATTTGAAAATCATCTAAGCGCACTGTTTATGGTCAGTGTTCATAGTTGGATCTTATGCTTAAGCCGTCTCAAGTTTATCTTCAGATGCTGTATGAATCATTTGGCTACGGAATATCTAAAGGTAAACAGACTAGAGACAGTCTTAAATATAATATCTGACTGCGAGTACCGAACCTGTAACACACACGCGAACCGATGTGCCGTTTCGTCGAACGAATATCTTTCCCTCCGAAACACTGGGAAAAGCGACGCATCACCAGTCGACGCGCGAGGCTCGTTTGTTCGTGCTCGTCCGTGCTTACGTTTCAACGTTCATTCGTGTTCGTTCGTTAATGTCTACTATAACGCGCGCGACGCTACTCGACGCGACGCGATGTCGAAAGGCGTAAAGAAGGAATTTATGTGGAGAAGCGTGACGAGCTTTTCGCCTGAAAAACCCTTTCTTCGCAAATGAATCTTCTCTCTCTCTCTCTCTCTCTTGAACATAGTCTGCCGAAATTAACAATCGTTAAACGCTGTCCGCGCGGGAGCTCGTTTCGTTGAACGACTGCTACACGCGGTACGTCTCGAAGAAGCAGGAACAAGCTGGCGGCGGACAACGCTACGCGTCTATGTGCCTTATCTGAAGTGATGGCGTTAAATCGGCGCGCGTGGCCGTGCATACTAATCGAGACGTGAGATACACATTCCGGCTCCTCTGCCGCTGGAGCCCCGCGTGATTCGCTCAGCGTATGTCGTGCGTATATGAAGTCCAATAGAATGTTAAATATCCCTCAAAACGCGTCCCCTACATGGTGTATCGTCTGCGGATTAAGCGATCGTACCACAGAGCGGTATCGTCGACGGCGCTGACACGAGAATAATTCGTTCACAGAAAGAAAGACTCACCTTCTCGCGCAGCATGTCTCTCACCCTGGTCGCTTGGCTCCTGCTCCTGTGCAGTTCCAGCTGCAGCTCCAGACACCTCTCCTGCCAGTTGAGCTCCTCCACGGTCGTGGTGTAGCCGTCGAAGCTCTTGGAAGTCGCGTAGCTGGGTCTGACGTCCAGCTTTTCCCTCTTCACGTCGACGCTGCCGGGCGCGGGTCTCTGGTCGACGAACAGTCGACCGGCCTCGTATATCCGCGGCGCCGGTTGCTCCGGCTGTCTGCCGGAGAACGAGAAAGCCCTGTCGAAGTGGCCCCTGCCGGAGGGCCCGGGGTCGAAGTTCGACCTCAGCCTGCAAAGCCCGGCGGGATCTTTCGCCTCGTAGCAAGCGGCGGGTGGTGCGGCCAGGTCTGGCTGCGGCACGAATGTCCTCTTGTCCGCGTACTCCACGTGGCCGCTCGACTCGCTCGTGAAGTCGTACGGGCTACACTTGGGCTTGTCGCTCCGGAGCTCGATGTAGCCGGCGCTCCTGGCGCTTTCGGCAAAGCTCTTGTCCCGTTGGAAAAACAGATTCGACACGTTGACGTAGGGCGAGTCCCTCGAATGCACCGGCAAGTTGCTACCGCCATCGCCACCACTGCCTGCCGGGACATTGTTGTTATTGTTGTTGTTGTTGATGTTGGCTGCGCTGGTGACGATGCTGGCGACCGCGCCGGTGGCGGGGATGACTGTGGTGACGGCGACGCCGGCGTGTCTAGGCCGCGGCGGTGGCGTGGGTGCCTGGCGGAACTGCCGTGGCCACAGCCGCGGGCTGTCGGGTCCGCTGGGACCAGCCGCCGTGACGGCGGCGCCGCTCGGGCCCGTTCGGGACGACGCTGGAGCACTGCCACCGCCGCCGCCGCCGCCGCCGCTGATCCCGACAGAGCTGCCGGCGGCGGGCCCAGACTGGCCGCCGGAGCCAACGGCTCCACTGCCAACGTCGTGCACGCGGGTACCCAGCCGCGGACTGCACGGCGCCGAGTTGGAGCCGAAATCGGTGTTGAACCGTGTGATGGGATCGATAATTTGCGAGAGACGGCGAGACGGCGAGCCGCGTATCTCATCCATCCCAGTCGTCGTTTCTGACGATTCGTCGATCCTTTATTACGACGCGTCCTGCTCGCTTTTCTCCTGCCGAAGGATCCTCAGTGCATCCGGCCTGTGCTCTCCTCCTCGGGTTATCGCGCTCCTACGAGGAACGATCCGCTCGATGCCGCTCATAAGGTGGGGGCTGCTCATCCTTGCCATGTTGTTACCTCACACGCTCGTTCGGTCATCGTCGATCGCGACATCGTCCTCGAGCTTGCGCTGCTGCCTGTGCAAAGAAAGCCCCTTCTTTTGAGGAATGTTATGGAGCAGTGTGTCAAGTGGGCGTATGCGTGTCTATATGGTATGTAGCTTATACGCGCGCGGCCATGTATGTGTGTGTGTGCGCGCACGTCGTAACAAAGTACGGAGGGAGCGACGATATCGTAAAAACGGTTTCGGCAAACGGCCGCGGGAATACCTATTTTTTATGTGAACTGCTGCTAGCGGTGGTATCGCGGTCTCTCGTGCAAACTGTAGCCCGGGTTTCTTAATCCCTTGTTTACGGTGCAACGCTACTCGATACTCGGCTCCGCTCGACGCACAGAACAGTGTTACTCTGTTCACGTTTCTTCCCCGGCTCGCAACGGTCGCGTGGAGAACACGAAGAAATTCGCGAGACGTGTGTCGATCGCCCTGCTTATCATGAGTACTTTACCGCGCACTTTAATACGTATAACGCTCAGGTAGCTTATCGTCGGTGCGAATAGCGGCGTACGGAGAAAAGTGCGAAGTGGAAAGACGGCACGCAGGGCTGCAAAGTTTATTTTAAGGTCGACGTTAAAAGGAGTCAAATGAAAAACCGGATGAAGGGTGCGGACGGGCAACCATGCCGTTCTGCAATTACCACGGACGAGTCGGCCCGCGTGGCGCGGGCTGACTCTGTGAAAAATTCCAGTCTTTGCGAGCCGCCGCAGGAAGTAGATGACGAGCATAAATTGAAGAGTTAATATAAAAAAAAAAAAAAAAAAAGAGAAAAAAGTCTGTGAACGTCGAAAAATTAAAATCCCGTCGAGAGAAGTTACCTCTTCGAGTGATACGTAGAATAATTTAAATTCGTGAAATGGAGAGAGAGAGAGAGAGAGAGAGAGAGAGAGAGAGAGAGAGAGAGAGAGAGCTGCGGGAAACTTATGCAGAGGGTCGTTATTTCGGCTCTCCTCCGGCGAGAGAGAAATTCGACTTTGTTTTCTGTATTGAGTGGGAATTATCTTCGCGGGAGATTGATACGTCCCCAGAGAGATGTTAAGTGATTACATTTGTCAGCTTCTTTCCCTGCAAATTACGCCACGCCACTCGTGATATAACGCTAGTTCTGACTCGCGAGTCGTGACACGTGACATGTACGCGACACGCGGTGAATTAACTTCAAACGGTCGCGAGGTCATCCAATCTCCTCTCGCGGACTCGCCGTTAATAATACGTCGGGCGACCTTTTCTTTATGCGATTTATATCTGCGCGCCTTTCGACGGGAGCGGCGATCTTTCCTCCTCGACTCCTGTATGATGTCGATTTTTTAAGGGAACGTCGCGTTCAATGAGCATTAAAAGTCCCGCGTGGAGAGAAAGTTCTTCCCTCGTGGGAACATTTAAAAACTCCGCAACACGGGATCGACACAACACGTTGCTTTACGCGCACACTTCGACATTTCTTGGAGTGGAATCTCGCTCAGTATTTTCGTTCGGAATAATCGAGAAAATACTGCCACTCGAAATCGCAAGAGTGAATGTTTCATTCAGACTTCGAATGGATTCTGACTCGATGTGAATGAATGTTTCAATCAATTAGAGCGAACACGTTCCTACAACAGTGAACGCAAATTTAATAAACCTTGAGTGAAATTATTTCCTCGACGACTCAGATTGGAGAAGTGACTCCATATGAATGAAAAATCGAGTTCGAATGATTCGGTGATCACTCTACTTTTTGAGTGAAATTTCACTTAAGAAATTTAGAGAGCACGTGCAAACGTAAACACAAATTGTCTTGTACTCACTAAGATACAATCGGTATATTCTTCACTGAAATGCTTGTAACTAGTGGTTTAGCTACAAGTATAGCACTGCAATCAGTAAAATCTTACAAAAAAAATCAGGGAATAATAATTCGTACTTTGGATGCAGTTTACAAATACAGTGTCATTGCAAGCAAATCGCATGGAGGCTGTTCATTCAATCGCCACAAAGTTGGATTTAAATATAACGTCGAACGAATTTGTGTACTACAGATTTTGCAGTGAAATCTTACTTGCACTAGTCAAAATCAGTAGGATGTAAGATAGAACAGTAAAACAGAAGAATTTTCACTAAAAATCAGTGAATATTCAATGATCACGCTGGTCAACAGTCATCTAGCGCCAGAAATCAAAATCGCCAATTCTTATTACTTTTGATTAGAGTTCTATATAAATACAGAAGCGACATTGAGGGGAAATCGTCTGGCTAATTGAATCATGTGATTTAGCGTCATATTGTTTCTTACTGTTGTGAACGAATAAAGATTAATGATACAGTAGAACATACTCAGCTGACATTACAGGAGAATATTTGCTGCAACTTCAACGTAGTAAGTTAAAATTACAAACAAGCAGATATTATTTATGTAAATTCCATTCTATAATCTAACCTTGACTTTTATTTTCTTTCAATATGGCCATTCGCTATGCCTGTCTCATATGGAGACACAAGATGGCGGCTTTTCGATATATCGCACTTATCGATTTTCCATTTCGCTTTTCTATTTATATAGGACTCTATTTTTGATTACCTGCTGGATTCAAATATAGTAAGCAAAATGTTCCATTGGTAATAATTTTAGAAATACGTCAATGAATTTCTATACGTTTTTCCTTTTAAAATTATTATATTTATGTTTCTGCAAAGCTTTGCAGAAATATGTCAACATTTTCACGGCGAGACCACCCTATTAGAGCCATTCCATACCGCGGAAATTGTTTTATTGCCTTGTCAGAGTGGTTTATTGACAGGTTTCCTGCGAACTGAATTCACTTTGGCTTAGCTGGGAACTTGAAAGGAGGTGGTATCTTATTTGAAGTGTTTTTTCTTAACGTTATGCTTTGATCACTGTTAACAGCGTTGTTTTACAAGTAGAATCGCAAACACACAAGTATGTTAATAGAAGTGATTATTTTTGTTATATTTGTGGCGAATTACTTTAGTGAGTACAAAAAAAGTGCAATTCCATTGACTCGTAAAGCACGTGAATTTATTTCGGATGTAAAGTAGAAGATGGTACAAAAATTTAGGCGTCTCGTATTTGTTGTAAAACTTGTACATATCGACCTTCCAATACTGGCTAAAGAGTAAAAATCGAGCTACGCGTTTCTCAAAAACTATTACGGATTTTATTGTCATTTTCTTGTTTAAGAGTTCGAATTATGTGAAAAATATACTGAAGGTGTAAAATAATTGCTTAATATTGTCAGTAAAACATTCCTTTTGCTGATCCCATTAGAACGATTTTGACGGATTTACTTTGAAAGCTAAAAATCTTATTTTATTTGTAGAGAGCACTAAATTATACTTGCTGCTTCTACACTTCCGTTAAGAGGGAAATAGATTGCTCAAAGGAACCACAAGCGAAACGTGGCTTTTATTAGGTCTGGGACAGCCTATATGAAGATAGTTCCGGGCGGTCTCCCGTGGTACCCATGAATAAATTTGAAATTAACTTTCGAACGCGCGATTTCCGCGTTATACGAGGCGCGACGAAAGCCGTTCGCAATCTCGGAGGTTCTTACACAGCCGAGGCGCCCTTTATATCGCGAAGGGCTCGTCCGGAATATTCCCTGAGTAAAGTCTCGGCCGCGATTACGCTTTGAAGACTTTCAACGCGCAGCGTGCGTAAAAGCGAGATCGCCCGTTATATTCGGCGGATCCAATTTTCATTTAAATAACGTAATTCCAATGAAAAGAAGTCAGAGCGGAACTTCTCCGCCATCACCACACCTACAGGCAGCACGACGATGGTCGATTGCCTGTTGTTAGAACCCTGTTTTGTCATTGCGTAACGAGCGGCGGTCACGAAGCGGTAGCCGCGGGCCGACCGGTTGGCGTATGGCTCGCATTTTGCATAAATTACGCGTTCTTCTGTCCAGCTCGCGTGATCGCGCGACGTTATTGTCGAAATAACGATGCGGCGCGGGTCGCCGCTGCAGGCGCGGCGAAACAAATAGACCGGCGGCACGTGAATCGTACGTACGCGAGACGTTCCCACGAACGGCGCCGATTGTTCCCGCGTGCAAGTTTCGCCCTCGGTCGCGCTGAATTTCGTCTCGCATCCGTTAACGACAGGGCCAACTGTAGTAGTGCGCCGAGCGGCGTCAATAACATCAATATCTTCGCGCAGGGGGACAGAGAGAAAGAGAGGGCTTCACGATGTTTACATGTATTCGAGACACGCTGTGTTGTGAAACAGAAAAAAGGAGAGGAGAGAGAGAGAGAGAGAGGTCTTTGATTCGACGGCGCGAGATTCGCGATAATCGGCACAAAAAGCATCGCGGCAGCCGACCGACGTCGATACGATGCGCGACGGCGCGACACGTTCGCTTCTGCGGAACTGCAACTCGTAAATTTCACGCGGCCGTTCGTTAATAAAGAGAGCCGGCGGGAGGCTCGTCACGAAAGAGGCGAGAACAGGCAACGAGAGCGATGAGAGAGAAAACGCGTCTCCGTCTGAGAGGCGCGGGACAAAAGATGAATACGAGACCGATGACCTTTCCCTCGAGGGAGAGAAGACATGAGAGAGTGTGTGTGTGTGTGTGTGTGTGTGTGTGTGTGTGTGTGTGTGTGTGTGTGTGTG